TCAGCAGTAATTTCTGGTTCAATTAACTGCCAGTTTCTAAACAAGGAAAATCGTCTTTTGTTCTTTCAAGTTAATATCTTCTGATTGAAGCCTTTAGTGAATTGATTCCCACTGCCTTCATTATCAAAACAAATCACAGGATTATTTTTTTAGCCATAGGGCACTTTTTTTCCCCCGTCTGTTTTACTGAAAGCTATAGCAACCTGTATTGCAGGATGTGTATTTGTCTACAATTTCTTTGCACCTTATGATTCAAAGCTTTAACCAATCTTGAGAAATTTTTGAAATGTTTGCTGAACTCTTGGATGAATCTTCAAAATTTGTTTATGCTTGTAAGAAAAGTGCAATTTAGATCGAGTGTAGAGAGGCGATAATATCATGGTTCGTTGTTTCTTACAGTGAAGACCCTGTAGGTAAGAGCTCATTCTCTATGCCAACTCCTACTATGAATTGCAGTTATCATGAGAAGCAGGTACTAGAGTGTTTGACTGAAGTATCATTTAATGCAGTTTCTATTCCTTCAAAATCAGGTGAAACTTAAAATTCTTGTTGCAAAATTTTCACTCAAATTAGGTCTAATTTTACAGTAACTTCATGTTTTCCTTCTGGAAGGTTTTACTTAATAAAATCAGCTGGCTTTAATTTTGTCATTAAGACTGTTTTCCACAGGTTTTGAGTAGTGAATTGTCAATTAAATACATTCTAAGAACTGATAAGAATATTCAAAACCTGAAGACAGTCATGAATTACAGTTTTGAGACTAATACAGATGTAACGACTTTCTTGCAGGTTAATTGTTCCGGAAATCTTTACATACAGAGATTTTTGGCGTGATTTAGCAGGGCTGAGCTCAGGAATATATTTAGCCGTTTTTCAGTGGTTGAATTATCAGATTATTGTGTCGTGTTAACTGCTGTGCAACACAAGCGTTTGTATGCTTAATACCAGTAATGGATCTGTCACACAGCTCTGACTTGCAGAAAGAGGATTAAGGTTCAAATGGATAATCTACAGACTAGAACAACGTAATACTGCTTTTTGGCATTGCAGTCTAGTACCGGGTGCTGAGGGGAATGTTGGCAGTCTTTTTTTTCTCTTTTTTTTTTAATTTACTAATCTAAAATTGCTGTGTTTTGACTTGAGATTAACACATTTTTCACTTTGCCATGAACTGAAATGCTGCTTTTTCAGGAGTAGATGATGCTGTTAAACAGAAACATCCATCTTCCATTTCCTATCTGATTTACATGAAGTTAATTTTAAATCTTCAGTTGTATATTCTCTTTCCTCCAAATTCTCACTTATTTCCATCTCCTCGTTCTTTATTTTTTTTCCCCACATCCCTTTTTGTTTGTTTGGTTTTTGAGTGAAAAGGTTGCCTACTACAGCATCCTAGTTTTCTTTCTCTAGAAAACACCTTTTCTTTCCACAGTTTTCTTTTCCAGGTTCACAAGCTCAGTTTTCGTTTCCAGCTTTCCCAGTTTTTCTTTTTTTCCTTGACTCTTTTTCTTGTTCATTAATTTTTGCTCCAGGATTCTGGAAATACAATGTCTGCTTCTTGTACCTGGACCTTGTCTTTAAACTGTCCTCCTGATTACACTTGATCTGTTTTTTGCCCTTTCTAATCCTTTTTTAGATGACTCCAGCATGTTCAATGTTGTCTTCTGTGTCAAAGGGCCCTTCTTTAGTCATTAGAAATTAAAACGTCTAAGATGTATCATTTTCTTCTGTATTTTATTAATCTTTGACAGATGCAAGCAGTGTGCTTTCTTGTTTCTCTCTTTGTCTTTTTTTGTAACCATTCAGGTTTCTTCTGTCTGTATCCTTTTTTTGGCATGTCATAGTTACCTTAAATGAGCAAAAGTCTTACTCCTCTGTGGTTTTACATTGCCTAATATAAATGTCTGGAAGCCATTTTGAAATTTTTTGTCACAAACTTTGTCCTAATCCTTTTTCACACTGCGTCTTCCATATTACAGATTTTCAGGATCTCCATGTGCATGATGTTTTATAGATCTCTCTTGTTCTACCACTGTGGTTTTGTTTAAAAAAAAAAAAAAAAGTGTCTTACAACTTTTTTCAGTCCGATACGAGAATTTTTCCTAAATCTATTACTAATAGCCCGTTCAAGTTAATTTTGTTTTTCCTGTTACTCTGTTTCTTATGACTTCAGCAGATTAAATGATATCGATGTCTTCCTGCTTCTGGTTTTGTGTTTTGGTTTTTTTGGTGGTGGGTTTGGGGTTTTTTTTTTAATTATTCTTCCTCACCCCCTGGTTTCTGACCTCTTTTCTGAATTCTTGTCCAG